GGGGGGGTTTTTCAGCTGCAGGGACAGGACGCCTGGTTGCAATCGAGGGAAAGATGAATGCTGCCAAGTACAGGGATATCCTGGACGAAAATCTTCTCCAGAGTGCTCAGGACCTCAGACTGGGCCGAAGGTTTACCTTCCAACAAGACAATGGCCCTAAGCACACAGCTAAAATAACGAAGGAGTGTCTTCACAACAACTCCTGTTCTTGAATGGCCCAGCCAGAGCCCTGACTTAAACCCAATTGAGCATCTCTGGAGAGACCTAAAAATGGCTGTCCACCAACGTTTACCATCCAACCTGACAGAACTGGAGAGGATCTGCAAGGAGGAATGGCAGAGGATCCCCAAATCCAGGTGTGAAAAACTTGTTGCATCTTTCACAAAAAGACTCATGGCTGTATTAGATCAAAAGGGTGCTTCTACTAAATACTGAGCAAAGGGTCTGAATACTTAGGACCATGTGATATTTCATTTGTTCTTTTTTAATAAATCTGCAAAAATGTCAACAATTCTGTGTTTTTCTGTCAATATGGGGTGCTGTGTGTACATTAATGAGGAAAAAAAATTAACTTAAATGATTTTAGCAAATGGCTGCAATATAACAAAGAGTGAAAAATTTAAGGGGGTCTGAATACTTTCCGTACCCACTGTATATATATATACACTACTTTTCACAGGTTTGGGGTTGATAAGGCTCTATTTATTTGATCAAAAATACAGTAAAACAGTAATATTGAGAAATATTATTACAATTTAAATGTACTGTTTTCTATTTTAATATATTTCTGCATCACATGGTCCTTCAGAAATCTTTCAAATGTTGAAAACAGTTGTGCTGCAATCATTTTGTTTAAACTATGATACTTTTCAGGATTCTTTGATGAAAAGAAAGTTCAAAAGAACAGAATTGATTTGAAATTGAATTATTTTGTAACATAATGCCATTGTATGTTACTTTTGATCAATTTTATGCATTCTTGCTGAATAAAAATAATAATTACAAGAATATTACTGACCCCAAGCTTTTGAACAATGATATAATGTAATATAACGTATAAAACGTAATGTAATTACGTTATATATAACGTAATGCATTATAATGTAATATAATATAATGTAATTTGTAAAGATTTGTAAACTAACATTTCCTTTTCTAGCTATTATTATTATTATTATTATTATTATTATGATTATATTCATTGCAGTTACATAAATTTCCTTGAGTTTCTGTTCATTTAACTGTACCTCCTAATAAATTCAAATGCGTCATGTTTGCTACCTTAATCCAATTCAAATTCAGGAATTTAAAAATATGTCTCAATTCAATTCTAAATGGCACACATCCCTGGTTCCTGTCAATTATATTTAAATGCCGTATAACATTTCACTAAAGAGGCAATCTCGATTATGTTGTGTAACATGAGATTTGTTCGCGTTTGTGATGAGAGACCATGTTACACCACTCAGGCTAATATGACAACATCTAATTTTCTCAGGCAACTTCAGAGTGCACCCGATGGCTACAAACTCAAATCCGGCCCCTGAACAGTCTGCAGCTACACTCACACGAGAGGGTAAGTGGCTGTTTCACATGGATATGCACACACACACACACACACACACACACGCACACACACCTCTGCTTCCAGTCTGACAACTGAAGACTGATTTCCTATGACACCATTTCAGAGTGACTATATTCTCTGGGTCAGTGTAGAGCCATCCGCTGCTTCTCATTTACACTCTCTCTGCCTGCTAGATCTGAGGCAGGAGGCTGCGACAAAGTCCCAAGCTCTGGTCCAAGCTAAAATAGAGCCTTGCTATTAGGTAATTTCATAGGAAATAGCATTATGGATTTAATGGGTAATAATTAAAACTCTATTTCCAATAAATACTCATTTTTACATACTTACTAATTGTTTAGTTTGATAATTGCTCCAACTCGTTGAACTTAAAAACTGCAATTTCGAGTCTCTAATGGTAACACAGCCATAAAATATAATGCACTAAACACAGTGCTCCTGTAAATGTACTGTTCCCCACTATAACACTCATAGTTTCAAAATAGTGTGCCTGATCTTCCCCTCATCCCTCTCAATGAACATTAATGGTTCTAGCATTGAGCAGCTTCCTGTACTATGCCAGTCCCACTTCTTGTTCTATCAGTCTGTACATGAGTCACCTGCATGAGGCCCACAACACAGGTCAGGTTATTAAAATCATAAAATAAACACAATCAAATTTGCCCAGCAACTTTACTGGAATTACCTGATTTATCTGCCTTTTTAAATATGATTAAATTATCACTTTTATTTTAATTTTAGTCTTAGAATTATTATTAATAATAATAATAACACTAGTTGGCTAAAACTACAAAAAAAATTAAGATACTTCTTGACCCCTCTCAACATCTGTTGGTTTCCAGGGTTCACACAGTCTTGTAAAACCTGGATATACGAGTTGGTATAATTTTAAAAGTGTGATTTCTAGACCTGGAAAAAAATCTTAAAATGCCTTGGTCATTTTCATAAATACATTATTAAATTTCATGACTATACATTTTACTGGTTATGCCAAGCTCAAATAATTATAATATTTTTTCAGGCAGAGATTTTGAGTAAAAAATAAAATAAAATAGAAATAGAAAATAAAAATAAAAATAAATAAAAAACTAACAAATATTTATTATTATTAATTATTACTTATTTACTTTTATTATTACTTTCATTTAGCAAGCATGCTTTAAATTTATCAAAAGTAATGATAAAGACATTTATAATGTTACAAAAGATTTCTATTTCAGATAAATGCTGTTCTTCTGAACTTTCTATTCATCAAAGAAACCTGAAAAAAA